GTTTGCAGGAAGAACTGCTCCAGAGCGTTTGTTCATTACGCAGTTATTGTTGCTTTTGTTTGGTATTGCTGAAACCTTAAAGTGAAATGAGAATGGCGGACAATTACTGCTCAACCCAGTATTTTCTCTATAGTCTGCTGTGCGAGTGCCTCAAGGGTTGCACTTGAAAATGCCATGTTTCTGGCAGGCAAGTAACTAATACTTGCGTCACAATTTCTTCCGGCGAGGAAAGATCAAAGAAAGTTATGGCCGCACAACCATCCAACTATCCATTTATTTTTTTGCTCCAGCATTTTATTTCCATACATACCGGTCTTCTCTAATTGGAACATCACGCGAGTGGAACGATTCATTCCGTTGTAAAACTATAAAGTTATTTTTACAGATAAAAATGAATATTCAATACCAACGGAATGGATTCCAATATCGCGTTTAACTTGTTCTGAGGGGCAAAGAGTAAAACCATCGGCTCGTATAATTTTAACGATCCCCTCCCCGTCTTAAGTTCATTCATATGTACTGGATTGTGTGTCTCAAGGGACGTGCGCTACCGAAGGACTCCTCAATATATGTGGGAGAATAATCCTCAACAGATTCTGGAGGGATTCTTCGGAACTTAGCACTGCATTGCCATACCTTCCATGATGTTATTATAGCAAAAGCTGCGAGGGTAGCAATCTGTAAAAAACTCGAGGGAAGCAAAGCTAAAATCTTCCTGCCACAATCTAATGAACAGAGTTTGCGCTGAGGGTTGATTCTGGGTCAAATCTATGAGCTAGCTACTTTGTTTGGTAATTTAAAATCATGATGGGCTCGGTGGAATTGTACGCTCTTCCAAAGGGTGAATGTAATGATGATCCGAAGACAAGACGAGCAGACAAGGTAAGAATACCTTGTTGTGGAGATGCTGAAACAACTACGATACGTTCTGATCTATTTAAAGACAATTGATGCGATGGCTGGAAGGCTGAGCGCAAAACGGAAGATCATTGAGAATAGCGTTAGTGCCTTAACATCCACTCCCCTCGAAGAACAGGCAACGTTTCAGATTGCCTAGTTTTCC